CAGGTACAGGACACATTTCTGCCAAAAGCCTTTGGGTTCGAGATTCGTTTCTGAGTCTCTGGGATCATGGCTGTTAAGCAGTTCAATCAGTAACCAGAGAGGCCATGCCTCCAATTACACAGCTGAACCGGAGGTGGTTTGTGGGTGTGTCTCACACATACCTAACTTTTGGCCATTTACTTTCTTGGTAAACTTTGCCCCAAGTTTTTGGGATCTGGCCAAAGGCACAGAAGCAATTTTGGGGTATCTGAAAGTCTGACGGTGCCATCAGGCTGCTGATGCACTCGCCTCACAGGTACAGATTGACCTGCTGGTGGCACCATACCCCGAGACCCATCATTGTTACTGTTTTTTGGCATATTGAACACACCATGGGGAGTTTGCCAGACTCTACCGTGTGGGCAGGATACTTTTGGTAGCCTGCCAGGTTCTCCAGAGTAAGAACTAGATAATAAGATGTCAGGAGCTTCTGGGAGCTGGGTTTTAAAGTCTCTGTGTCTTGGCCATTGATGGGAATACAAGCAGCCGGATCAGTTGGTGTGTGTAACGCCTGCATCCTGGAAGATGGGGGATCTGGGTGGAGGAGGCCCAGTCCCAATCTGAGCAGACTTTGAGATCTACACCCTGGGTCCCGCACACCTGGGTTCCTCTGCTGGTTCCTTCATGTGTGAGGCTCATCCGAACATGTGGAGAGTGGTTTTAAGCATGGCTGTGGCTGGAACCGGAGATCTTCAGCTGCCGGGGCTCTGCTTGGGGCGGGGAGGGAAACTAAACCCGCCCTCCTTCAAGGGGCCCCGGTGGAGACAGCCAGGTGCTGAGGTAGGAGACTGCACTGTTCTCTTCCGGGAGCTGGGTTTTAAAGTCTCTGGGTCTTGGCCGTTGATGGGATTACACGGCTCTGGGTGCAGTTGGTCAGGATAATATAGGTGGTATCATCCTGAGTTTATCCTTTTTCTTCTGGCTTTATTCATGATATATATCGTCCAGTTCCATCCATGTTGCAGTGTACTGCATAATCTTATTTTTCCTTACAGCTGCATAATATTTAATTGTGTCTGTGTATACATACATGATGGAATATATATATGCACATATGTATCACATATTTATGACCTACTTATTTATCATTGGACACCTAGATTAATTCTATATCTTAGCTATTATATTAAGTGCTGCAATGAGTCATACCAGTATACCAGTATTCATTGTAGTGAAACAACTTTTATGATCAAACACTTATTACTATAAACTTAAAAGATTTTGGTGGCACAGTCATCTTGGCTTCTGAAGCCTGACACTTCTATGACCTAACAAAAGTGTTTGCTTTAAGCTTGAGAGACCTTAATAGCAGCGACGTTCATTGAGAGGCCAAATGCAATTCTGTCTGCTGCCCTATTTTTTAAAAAATTATTGAATCGCCGTGAGATAGTTATAAGCTTTCATGTTTGGGTTACAATCACAAAATGATCAAACACCCACCCATCCATCAGCGCACATTCCCTACCACCAATATCCTTGGTATACCCACCCTTTCCCACCCTCCCCCTGCCTCCATGGCGGACATGATTCCCCATAATCTCTCTACTTTTGGGCATTATAGTTTACAATACAGACCTTGAGAAGTTATGTTTGGTCCCTTATCTACTTTCTGAACACATCTCCCATCCCGACTGATTCCTCGAGCCATCTTTTTCTTAATGATCCCTTCTCTATTCCAGCTGCCTTCTCCCCTTTGCTCATGAGGCAGGCTTCCAGCTATGGAGCAATCTATCTGTCCCATGTATCTATTGTCTTTAGGTGTCAGCCTCATGTTATGTTGTTTTATACTCCACAAATGAGTGCAGTCTTTCTATGTCTGTCCCTCTCTTTCTGACTCATTTCACTTAGCATGATACTCTCCATGTCTATCCATTTATAAGCAAAGTTCATGATTTCATCTCTCCTGACAGCTCCATAGTATTCCATTGTGTAGATGTACCAAAGTTTCTTTAAACAGTCATCTGTTGTAGGGCACTTGGGTTGTTTCCAGATTTTGGCTACTATGAACAGTGCTGCAATGAACATATAGATACAGATGTCATTTCTACTGTGCTTTTTTGCATCCTCAGGATATATTCCCAGAAGTGGTATTTCAGGGTCATATGGAAGCTCAATTTTTAGTTTTTGAAGGACTGTCCATATAGTTTTCCAGAAATGCTGGACTAGTGGACATTCCCACCAACAGTGAAAGAGTGTCCGTTTTACCCCACATCCATGCCAGCACTGGTTGCTTTTGTTCTTTTGAATGTGTGCCAGTCTCTGTGGTGTGAGATGATATCTCATGGTTGTTTTGATTTGCATCTCCCTGATGGCTAGATATGTGGAGCATTTTTTCATATGACTTTTGGCCATTTGTATTTCTTTCTTGAGGAAGCTTCTGTTAATTTCTTCTCCCCATTTTTGATGGGGTTGGAGGTTTTTTCTTGTACAATGTCTGCTGCCCTATTAGCAGTAGAAACTATTTCCATTCAAATTAAGTGAACTTAAGCCACAGCTAGAAAGTAAGAGTGAAGAACAAATTCTTTCATAGCGAGGACACTCATTCCACCCATGTAAAGTGATTCTCATGCCATTCTTGAGGGTAAAAGTCAGTTGTTTCAGCCTGCCTCATGAGCAAAGGGGAGAAGGCAGCTGGAATATAGAAGGGATCACTAAGAAAAATATGGCTGGAGGAATCGGTCGGGATGGGAGATGTGTGCAGAAAGTAGATAAAGGAACAAACATGATAACCTCTCAAGGGTCTGCATTGCAAATCATAATGCCCAAAAGTAGAGAGAGATTATGAGGAATCGTGTCTGCCATGGAGGCAGAGGGAGGGTGACAAAGGGGTGGCATACTGGAGATACTGGTGGTGGGGAATGTGCACTGGTGGAGAGAAGGGTGATCATTGTGTAATTGTAACCCAAATATGAAAGTTTGTAACTATCTCACGGTGATTCAATAAAATTTTTTTTATTATTTTTTTTTTTTGCTTTTTGGTCACACCCGGCGATGCTCAGGGGTTACTCCTGGCTCATGCACTCAGGAATCGCTCCTGGCGGTGCTCAGGGGACCATATGGGATGCTGGGAATCGAACCTGTGTTGGCCATGTTGGTTGCGTGCAAGGCAAACGCCCTACCCGCTGTGCTATACAATAAAATTTTTTTTAAAGTCGGTTGTTGCTAGCAAAGTCAGAAGAGATCCTGCTCCACGTCTCCCAGGAAGATTGTGGGCTTGGTATGAAGTCTCCAGTTTAGGGAACAGAAGACAGTGAGACCTTCAAAGCTACCTCTCCCCTGCAAGCTTCCCTGTCCTGCAGAGCCACCTCTTTTCACTTCCTTCTTCACATATCTAGGTCCAAGAGTGGGGGCACCTTAAAATTTTTGGACTTCCTAGAGCACACTGCCACAAATCTCAAGCTATACAACACTGATAAAGCAGGAGTAGCACACCAGATTGAATGGGGTGCAATGTAGAAGGCAACCAACCTCAATTTTCAAAATATAAACAGAAGGTTTAACCTGTAACATTTTAGTAATCTCTTCTACAAGGACTTAATGTCTGCATGGTGAGATACAACAATCTTCACTAATTTTCTCCTAATGAAACATTTTTTGATCATTCTGTTAGCAAATTATTTATAATGAGCAATATAGAATAAATTATTGAGGGCCTGCTATGGGGTCAGGCTGAAGGGGTGGTTGGAAAAAATGAGAAAATGGTGCAGGGAAGGTGTACTGGTGGGGAATTGGTGTTGGACAATTGCATATCTGTAACAAATCATCATGAACAACTTTGTAAACCACAATACTTATATAAAGTGTAGCACTGTAGCACTGTCCTCCCATTGTTCATCAATTTGCTCGAGCGGGCACCAGTAACGTCTCCATTTTGAGACTTGTTGTTACTGTTTTTGGCATATTGAATACGCCACAGTAGCTTTCCAGGCTCCGTCATATAAAGTGTAAGGGGGAAATAAAATTTTAAAAACAATAATAAAATATTAAAACAAAACCAAAAACTCTACAAGAGTGGGAGAAGTCTAGAAAGCCACTGTGGGCAAAACAGTTCTGAAATTCCAAAACTCACAGGTGTCCATGTCTTGGGCACTATTACTGTCACCATGTCCAAGAAGACATTAGAAAGTTGGAACCAGGATGATGGGGGCAGATAGCACAAACACAGGACAGATAAAATCAGAGAATACCCCCACCCTGTTTTCTTGCATGGTTGTAGCCGTGTGACAAGGTGATTTATGACATTCCTGAGAGCAGGTGGCAGGCAGGAGCACATGGACAGGCACTGCTTCACTAGCAACTCCAGGATCTCATCAGGGCACTCACAGCCCATCTTCTGGGAAGTACACAGTGGGCCCAATGTGGCTTTATTGCACATCATCGCTTTAGATAAACTAGCTCTCCTCTGCAGAATCCTGCACGTCCACACTAAATGGAAGTGTACCGTGGTGCCCTCAACTCCAGTGACTGCTGCTCACACCCGGTCCCCTCAGAGTCTGGCATGGTCAATGTGCTGGGCAGATCTTGGAGGGCTAGACAGAGTTAAGCACTCTCTGACAAGGCCAAATCTGAGATGGCACTGCCAGGATGATGCTGGACACAATTCCCTGGTGAGAGTCCCTGGCAAGTGTGCAGTGCTCTAAGTACCTTGAGGAACAATTCTCAGTTCCTAAGTACCCAGTGGCCTCTTCTACTCTGAAACAGGAGCTGCACAGAGGCTGAAGTCAGCCTGAGAGGGCCTAACTCCAGCTTCAGAATCAAACTGTAGGAAACAGGAAAGAGGATGGGATGAACAGAGCAGTTTCCACATCCAATGTTCCAATATTGGCTTTTTAATGGTCTTTTGGAGCAAAGAAAGTTGGAGGTAGGAGGTAATTCAGGAGGAGGCAAGAGCGCTCACTCTCTCTCCCTAGCTCTCTCTCACTCACTCTTTCCCTCCCTCCCTCTCTCTCAGCTCACACATCTCATATATAAATGGGGTGGCATCGTTTGTAGCTTATCCTTTTCCGGCAGGTCGGGCAAGTCTTAGTATTCCTGAGGGAGTCACGGAGGCATCGGCTACAGAAAATGTGACCACACATTGTCGAGAAAACAAGGCGTCCCTTCCGTACAATCTCTGAGTACCCATCCATGCAGATTGGACAGATGATCATACCGGATGGTCTGTGTTCTGTCGTTGAGACATCGCTGGCATTTCTGAGAGACTGGGTGGTGAAGTCTCTGTTGCTAGACGACTCTTCATCATCGCTGATCACCACAAAGCTGTCAGCCTGGTTCTGACGTGAGCTCTGCACATTTCTCCTGGACTCTCTCATCTCATCCACTGTCTCAACAGAGTCATTGAGAGTCAGGTCAACCACCACAGGCTCGGGTGATTCACAGGTGAGGTCCACAATCTCATCTTCTGTGCTTTCCACGAGTTCTATGGGCTCTGCTTCCGAGGCCATGTAGAGGTTGAGGCAGTTTCCCGAACTCGTGTCTGGGCTTGTCTAGAATGTACTGTACCGGCACGATGCTTCCTCGTACTCAAGAGTGTTAGGCTTCAGAAAAAGGCACTTGCTGGGTTCTGTGAGAAACACCTCTCAGCCTCACACCTGGCTGGCAACAGGTGAGCAGTCAAAGAAATGTCTAGTCCCTGCGAATCCTGGAGCTAATCTCATCCGGTTGCTGCAGCCAACAACACCCTGTAGCGAGCAAGACCTATGGAAAAACACACAAGTTTTATAAACCAGACCTATAGAGATGAGCATTCATCCAGATTGTGGCTTTAAATACCATTTCCCACTAAGAGCAAACCAGGGTTTTTTAACTAACTAGTTTGTTCCAGGTCTGGAGCAGGAAATGAATGAGTCTCAAATTACCAAATACTTATCCATGTTTTTATAATGATTCGATTTTTTTAATAAATAAATAAATACATGTCAGAGGGTTAAGCACTTGCCTTGCACATGATCGACTGGGGTTCCATTCCTTGAGCCACATATGATACCCTGAGCCCGGCCAGGAGTAATCTCTGAGAGCAGAGCCAGGAGTAAACCTGATGTGGCCAAAATTCCCCATAAAAATAAATAAATAATATTAGCATATTATTAGCACCATGCAAAGGACTCTAATGTGTGCAGAAACAATTAACAGTTTATCTTTTAGGACTAGGATTACAGATAATTTTGTTCAAAGTCGAGAAAATTCTAAATTAGAAAGATTGCATTCATCTGGGGAACATAAAGTAACAAAATAGGAGACTAACACCCAAGAGTGGCCGAGATTAGTACCAGGAATTTTGCTCGATGGCTTGGAGGCCAGCCACACATTCTAGGGGAAAAGGGAGCTTAGATAGAGAAGGGAGCAACAAATAAACGGTGTTGGGAGGATCCTCCCAGGATGGGAGAAGCATGCTGAAAGTAGACTATAGACCAAATATGATTGCCACTCAATGCCTCTTTTGAAAACCACAATACCCAAAAGGAGAGAGAGAGAACAAAAGGGAATGCCTTGCCGCAGAGGCAGGGTGGGATGGGGTGGATGGGGGGTGGGAGGGATACTGGGATCCGTGGTGGTGGAAAATGGGCACTGGTGGAGGTATGGGTACTTGATCATTGTATAACTGAAACCTAAGCACAAAAATTTGTCTACAATTGTACCTCATGGTGTTTCACTAATAAATTTTTTAAAATAAAATAAATTAAAAAAATTAACATGGGGCTGGAGAGATAGTACAGCCAATAGGGCACTTACCTTACACGTGGTTAACTGGGGTTCAATCCCCCACATTGCATATGGTCGCCTGAGCACAGCCAGTAGTTACTATTTTGTGCAGAGCCAGGGGTAACACTTGAGCATCGCGGGGGATGGCCCATCTCCCCAAATTAATTGACATGTATTACATGCATAATTAGCAAAAACACAGTTAAATAAAAAAAAGTATTAAGAATGCCAGTGTAAAGAAATTCTCAGGCCAGTGACTAATGTTTTCTAGTGCTCCATAACATATGTAGGTCAGAGGATATTTTAGGGTCTTGAGATTATGACATCACAATCATCTGTGAAAGAGCAGTTGGCTGCAAGGATCATTTAGGGCAAGATAACTTTCTGTTGCAGCTAGAGTGTTGAGTTGCATCTGCCAGATACGAGGACAGGAATTTCAAACTCAAATCATTCTTTTCATCTCCCTCATTCTTCTGAAGGCTCCATCTATTGGAGATGGGCAAAAAGAAACCTTACTGGTGGTGCTCTCATATCAGTCAGGGGCAAAGCAGATAGTCTGTGTTCACCCTATATTGATGCCTGGGTTGGTTGTCAGAGCTGATTCATGCTTAGGAGAACAAAAATTCATTTAAAACAGTAGTTTTTTTAATTAATTTATTTATTTATTGAATCACTGTGGGAAAGGTTACAAAGCTTTCAGGTTTATGTCTCAGTCATGCAAATATCAAACACATTTCCCTTTACCAATACTTATTTTTTACCCTGAAGAACCCCAATAAAACCCCACCCCCCACCCCTCCCCGTCCCTGTGAGGCAGATGAATTCTAGTTAACACTCTATCTGCTTTGATTAGATTCATTATTTCAATAAGATTCACCACTATTATTTAGAGTTTACCCCCCCCCCCCCAAATCAGACATGCTGAAAAAGCATTGTGAAGTGATTTGCTTTCTACAGCTGGGTTCAAGAATTAAATGTTGGTTTTGGATTTCTGCTATTTTACCTATTGACCCTGGAAGTATTTCTACTGAAAGTCAGATAGTTAAGAAATTGGTTTCTGTGTTCTGGAGTCGTGGCCGTGCTGGAGAGCCGCTCGCGGGGGGCAACCGGTGGCCTCGGTAGGGCGTGAAGGGCGGAGCGAAACGCCCCCCTTCCCATGAGGTTTTAGTCACCCCCACACTCCCGGCTCATACCTGCTGTCCACAAGGCTTCCATGTGGCCGCCATCTTTCTTTCCAGAGGGAGGAGGGCGGAAGGGAGCAACACCCTTTCCCCTCTGGGCAGAAATGATTGCCTGGATTAACGCATAGTCCTTTCACTTTTCTGCTCCAAGCTGCTGGGTTCTGCATTAGGTCATTGTGCTTCTGGGGCTGTGGCCGTGCTGGAGAGCCGCTCGTGGGGGCAACTGGTGGCCTCGGTAGGGCGTGAAGGGCGGACCGAAACGCCCCCCTTCCCATGAGGTTTTAGTCGCCCCCACACTCCCGGCTCATACCTGCTGTCCACAAGGCTCCTATGTGGCCGCCATCTTTCTTTCCAGAGAGGAGAGGGCGAATGGGGCAACACCCTTTCCCCTCCGGCAGACTTGCTGGGCTGGATCAATGCATAGTCCGTTCACTTTTCTGCTCCAAGCTGCCAGGTTCTGCATTAAGTCCTTGTGCTTCTGGGGCCATGGCCGTGCTGGAGAGCCGCTCGTGGGGGGTAACTGGTGACCTCGGTAGGGCGTGAAGGACGGACCGGAACGCCCCCCGACCCATGAGGTTTTAGTCGCCCCCACTCCCCCGGCTCATACCTGCTGTCCACAAGGCTCCCATGTGGCCGCCATCTTTCTTCCCAGAGGGAGGAGGGCGGAAGGGAGCAACACCCTTTCCCCTCTGGGCAGAAATGATTGCCTGGATTAACGCATAGTCCTTTCACTTTTCTGCTCCAAGCTGCTGGGTTCTGCATTAGGTCATTGTGCTTCTGGGGCTGTGGCCGTGCTGGAGAGCCGCTCGTGGGGGCAACTGGTGGCCTCGGTAGGGCGTGAAGGGCGGACCGAAACGCCCCCCTTCCCATGAGGTTTTAGTCGCCCCCACACTCCCGGCTCATACCTGCTGTCCACAAGGCTCCTATGTGGCCGCCATCTTTCTTTCCAGAGAGGAGAGGGCGAATGGGGCAACACCCTTTCCCCTCCGGCAGACTTGATGGCCTGGATCAATGCATAGTCCGTTCACTTTTCTGCTCCAAGCTGCTGGGTTCTGCATTAAGTCCTTGTGCTTCTGGGGCCGTGGCTGTGCTGGAGAGCCGCTCGTGGGGGGTAACTGGTGACCTCGGTAGGGCGTGAAGGACGGACCGGAACGCCCCCCTTCCCATGAGGTAAAACAGTAGTTTTTATAATTGTTTTTAAACTCCATTTATATCACTGCTCAAAATTCATAGTTTTATAGTCAGCAGGCTATTATTCTCAGAAAAATTCATGTATTTTTAGAATTAATTTATCTATATTTGCATTAAAATCTTTCCAAAAAATTTCATGTGTCTTTACAGATTGATTTCTGATCAGGTGATTTATTAAATTTTTAAAGCATTTAGTTTTAGCCATTTTCTTCTCTTTGCTTCAGTAGGGCATAGAGGTTGGAAGGAAAGGGTTGATAAATGTGGCTCAGTAATAGAACTCACACTGTGCATGTGTAAGGCCCTGTGTTTTATTTCTGGCAACATATACAATTGGAGGGGAAGACTTCACAGAGGCAACACTCTTATGTTTCACCATTTAACCATGGGCTTCATAAGTGAGGTTGTAGCTAGACCCGTGAAAATAAATCCTCAGAGTTTATTCAGATAACTGAATCAGAAACTCTGGAGGTGGAGCTGAGAAAGGTGTGTTTTAACATGCTGTCTAGGTAGGGTTTCAGATTAAATGTAACATGGTCTAGTTAATTTTACTTTCAAAAGTAATTTTTGTAATATTTGGGAATGCTTATAGTCAAACTCATTTAACTGGGTCCCTTGTGTTTTTATTTATTATCTTCTAAATCTCACAATCTGACATCCAAATGATTCCAAACCATACTAAAGTTTGGAAATCAGTGGGCTAGAGGTAAAAGGATAGCCCAGGAGTCAGATGAATCTGAATCCACCACTTTTTCAGCAATGAGTGGAATTCTGCAAATATGACTGGTATCTATGCATGAAAAGGGAGACTAAGGAGGGAGATCAGTCAGCCTCAGGGCCTAGAGTAAAGTTTAGTAAGATAAAGGACATGGATTTTATCAGAAAATTCTAACAAAATTTGAGAAGCTGCTCCTCTAGGGTCTGTAGGGTATTATTCTCACACCCCATAACTTTGGTCTGTATAGGAGACAGGGCCAGGGTGGATTAATGGGTAAAACACAGGAGTGAAGCTCAGAATTCTCTGAGAGAGGAAAGAGTATAAAGAGAAAAGGAAGAGTCATGACTTAGAAATGCAAGACGTCAATTTATATTCGCAACAGGTTCTCTACAACTGACTTTGGTTTTTTTTTTTTTTTGGCTTTTTTGGGTCACACCCAGCGATGCACAGAGGTTACTCCTGGTTCATGCACTCAGGAATTACTCCTGGCCGTGCTCAGGGGACCATATGGGATGCTGGGAATTGGACCCGGGTCGGGTCGCGTGCAAGGCAAATGCCGTACCCGCTGTGCTATCAGTCCAGCCCTCTAAAACTGACTTTGTAAGGAGAAAAATTTGTGAAAAGTCATTCCCTGTATAAAATTAGCACTGGTTATTTTTTAACATTATTTTTTAATTTTTTTAATCACCGTGAACTAGAACATTATGAAGTTGTTCATGATTGGATTTCAATCATATAATGCTCCAACTTCCATTCCCCGTGTAATTTCCCACTGACCTCAGGTTCTCTCCCATCCCCCAACAAATAAATCTTAACCTCAGTCTGCCTCTATGTTAGGCACTTCTTTTCTCTCTTTCTCCTCTCTCATTTTAGGCATTATCAGTTTATCACTGGTTATTTCTTTTTTTTAACTGCTATTTTATTTTTATTTTTTTAAACACCATGAGGTACAGTTATAGACTTATAAATTTTCGTGCTTGGGTTTCAGTTATACAATGATCAAGTACCCACCCCTCCACCAGTGCCCATCCTCCACCACCACGGGTCCCAGCATCCCTCCCGTCCCACCCTGCCTCTGTGGTAGGGCATTCCCCCTTGTTCTCTCTCTCTTCTTTTGGGTACTGTGTTTTGCAAGAGAGGCATTGAGTGGCAATCATGTTTGGTCTATAGACTACTTTTAGCATGCTTCTCCCACCCTGGGAGGGTCCTCACAACACCCTTTATTTGGTGCTCTCTTCTCTATCTGAGCTTCCTTTTCACCTAGCACGTGTGGCTGGCCTTCAAGTCATGGAGCAAAATTCCTGGTACTAATCTCAGCCATTCCTGGATGTTAGTCTCACGTTTTGTTGCTTTATGTTCCCCAGATGAATGAAATCTTTCTGTGTCTATCCCGCTCTTTCTGATTCATTTCGCTTAACATGATACTTTCCATGTAGTACCACTTGTATGTAAATTTCATAACTTCATCTTTTCTAATAGCTACATAGTACTCCATTGTGTAAATGTACCAAAGTTTCTTTAACCAGTCATCTGTTCTCAGGCACTAAGGTTTTTTCCAGATTCTGGCTATTGTAAAGAGTATCACTGGTTATTTTAACCTGTGGAAATGTCTAGAAATATTTGGGGGGCATGTAGATTTGGGCCACACTCAATGGTTCTCAGAAACCACTGCTGACTCTGTATTCAAGAGTCATTATTTGGAGGTGATTGGTGAACCATATGTAGTATCAGAAATCAACTCTGGGTGAGTTACATGCAAGACAACTTACACTCTGTAATTTCTCTCCATCCCTGGAAATATTTTTTTATTGTACCGTAGAGATAGGAGATCAAAAACAAAACAATAATGGTTCTTTTTATGTGAAGGCCTCCTTTAAGAGCTCATTTAACCTTAAATAACTTTTATATTATATTATTTGTATAAATTAGTTCACAATATTTGATTCCATTTAATATTCAAACACCAATCCCACCACCATTACACCTTCCCACCACCATGATTTAGATGTTTCCATTCCGAAGCTCAACGCCTGCCCCAAAGCAGAACCAAAATAATTTAAATAACTTTTAAAGACCTACCTCCAGGTATTGTCATACTTGAGGATGAGGAACGAGAACTAGAGCTCAGTAGTAGAGTGCATGCCTTACATGTGCGGGGTCCTGGATTTGATCCCACAGCAACTTCCCAAAGAAATTCAGTCATTTAAAGCTACCATCTGCTCCTATTTCAAGACTAACTATGACCTTTGAACATTATCAGGCAGTAAAATTATAATTCACCTTCTTTCTGATCTACCCTGGTGGAGAGGAAATGAGGTAAAAGCATTAAGATATCCTCAAATTCCTGACTCAGAAATTCCACTTCTGAGCATCTATCCCAAGGACCCAAATAATCTTTTTTTGAAGAGACATTTGCACTCCTATATTCACTTCTCTAACCAGTTGTTTGTTCTCGGGCACCCAGATTGTTTCCAGATTCTGGCTACTGTGAATAGTGCTGCCATGAACATGATGGCATTTCTGCTGTTGTTGGAGGGTCCCAATATATATTCCCAGAAGTGGTACTGCTGTGTCATATGGAAGCTCAACTAGAATTCAAGCTTCCGTATGACCCAGCAATGCCAAAGAATAGATGACTGGTTAAAGAAACTGTGGTACAGCTACACAATGGACTACTACACTGCTGTTAGAAGAATGAAGTTATTACATTTCCTTATAAATGGATGGACATAGAGATTATTATGTAGATTGAAATAAGTCAGAAGGATAGGGACATACATAGAATGATTGAACTCATTTGTGGAATATAAAATAACATAGTATGAGACTAAGACCCAAGGAGAGTAGAAACATGGGCCAGTAGTATTGGTCCCTATCTGAAAGCCTTCCTCAAGTGTTGGGAGAGAGGGCAATGGGATAGAGAAAGGACCACTAAGATAATAATGGTTGGATGGATCGCTCTGGAAGGGAGATGTGTGCTGAAAGTGGGTAAAGTACCAAACATGATGGCCTCTCAGTGTCTGTATCACAAACTATAATGTGTCAAATTAGAAAGAAGTAGAGAGAGCATAAGAAGAAAAGTGTGTGCCAATGAGGCTGATGAGGGTTGGGGAGTAAGGTGTGGTGGAAGGGACACTGGGGACATTGGTGGTGGGAAATATAAACTGGTGGAAGGATGGGTGTCGGAATATTGTATGACTGAAGCCTGATCATGAAAGTTTTGTAACTATGCATCTCACGGTGAGTCAATTGAAAATTTGATAAGTAAATAAATAAAAATGTAACGGGGCAATTAGAAAGATAATCATATTACTCGCATCAGTGAGGTTTTAACTCAAACACACAATGTTGAGGGGGGATAAAAGCAAAATATAACTTATTATAGGGCTGGAGCGATAGCACAGCGGGTAGGGCGTTCGCCTTACAAGCGGCCAACATGGCCGACCCGAGTTCGATTCCTCCGCCCCTCTCGGAGAGCCCGGCAAGCTACCGAGAGTATTCGATATGCCAGACACAGTAACAACAGTATTATAACAAAATATAAATTTATTATTATAAATTCTTTTTCTATTTTAATAACATATCTAAAGATTTTGAGTGCCAGGAAACATGTAAGAAGGTCGGTGTAACAAATAGTTAAAAGCAACAGAACATAACTATACTACAGAAGTAAACTTACTAAAGTCAGAGTAGGTGGTTAAACAGGAGGGGACCATGAAACAGTGATGGAGGGAAGTGGTGGAGAAAGAGTGTTGGACATGTATGAAATCTTATTATTAAAAGTATTGTAAATCATGGTGCTTCAAGTTTTTTAAAAATTAAAAAGACAAAACAACAAAACAAAAATGCTGTACCAGTCAGCATTCCCACCAACAATGAAGGAGAGTCCCTTTTTCCCTGCATCCACACCAGCACTGGTTGCTCTTGTTTTTGTTTTTTTTTCAATGTGTGCCAGTCTTTGTGGTATGAAATGATATCATTGTTGTTTTGATTTGCATCTCCCTGATGTCTAGCAATATAGAGAATAAAAAAATTATTTTATAAAGTTTTTCACAATATTTTATTTCATTTAATATTCGAACACCAATCCCACCATCATTACCTTCCTACCACCATATTTTGGATGTTTTCATACCAAACCCCAAACCCTGCCTCAAAGCAAAACCTAAATAATTAATTTTGTATTGTTATATGAAAAACCGCTGAATATGTTACGAAAAAGTCTCCTTAGAGGAAAGAGTGGGAAGGTTGCTGTATTTCACACAGGAGCATGTGCCCTTCAAATATAAAGCATTTTGCATGTGCCTTTTGGTTACTTCTTTGAAGAAGTTTCTGTTCATTTCTTCTCCCAATTTTTCATGGGGTTGGATGATTTTTTATTGTAAAGTTCGGCGGGACTCTCAGTCATTGTTGGTAGGAATACCAACTGGTACAGCCATTTTGGGAAACAATATGGGCATTCCTCAAAAAACTAGAAATTAAACTTCCATATGACCCAGCAATACCACTTCTGGAAATAAACTCTGGGCTCCCAGAAACACACAGCAGAAGTGCCATCTGCATTTCTATGTTCATGGCAGCACTAGTCACAATAGCAAGAATCTGAAAACAACCTGAGTGCCCAAGAACAGACGACTGGATGAAGAAACTGTACTGAATCTACACAATGGAATACCACACAGCTGTTAGGAAAAATTAAGTCATGAAATTTTCTTATAAATGGATGGACATGGAGAGTATCATGCTGAGTGAAATGAGTCAGAAGGAGAGGGATATTGAATGATTGCATTCATTTGTGGGATATAAAAAACAAAGTATGAGACTATTACCCATGGACAATAGAAACGAGGGCCAGGAAGTCCACAGTTGGAAACTTGGCACAAATGGGGGAAGTGGGAGAGTGTAGTTAGTATAGAGAAGGGACCACTATTACAATGATAGTTAGAAATTATCACTTTGGACAAGAAATGAGTGCTGAAAATAGGTAAAGGATATACATGATGACCTTATAGTACCTGTACTATAAACCATAATGATAAAAAGAGGAGAGAGAGAGGGAGAGAGAGAAAGGGAGAGAGAGAGAGAAAGAAAGAAAAGTGCCTGCAATAGAGGCAGGCTGGTGGAGGGGGGAGTAAGGAAGGAAATCCGGGACATTGGTGGTGGGATATGTATGCTGGTTAAGGAATGGGTATTAAAACATTGTATGACCGAAACCCAATCATGAACAACTTTTCAATTATTTATCTCATGGTGATTTAATAAAAATATTTTAAAAATAAATAAAATGTATTGATTGAAAGTCTATGGTTAACAGTACTACTAATAATGATTTCTCATTCAGACAATTCCAACACCACAGCTATCATAATGTACCCACCTCTCTCTCCCAAAGAACCAAACACCCCTTCCTTTTACTATTCCCTCCCCAACTCAATTGTGTGACTCATATTTTTGAGTTGCCTATTTGACAGATTGTCTACATTTTTCTGTGTCTGAAACTCAACACACTCAGAGCTTAATTCTAAACAACTACTAGGTGTGACCCAAAAAACGAAAAGTAAAACAATGTAATATGACTTGCTATATAACTTTTCAGAAGAGTAATCTTAAATTGTGTATTAAATTATAAAATACATATGTGTCCTATATATTCCAAAGACATTGAAAAAGAGATCCACTGACTGCATTACAAATATGCTCATTTCACTGCTGTTTGTGGTAATAGGAAATTGGAGGTGATATATCTAGTTTCCTATCACTGAAGTAGATAGGGAAATTGTGATCAATAAACACCATACAGTACAATGCAGCAGTTAAAAGGGAGAAATTAGATGTAGGTACACAGCAAAATGAATGTGTTTTAAAACCAGGTGCTAAGTGATAAAAGAAATTCTGAGAACTCGGGAGGCAGTCTGGATTACGGGCTTTGCATGCAGACGCTTTGCAAGGAGTTTCAGGTTCCAGCACAGCATGATCTCTCATGCCACCAAATATGGATCTACCCAAAACAAAAACAATGAAATATCTAACACAATACAATTGAAGTAAATTGAAATAATATGCATACAGCTACAGATTGCATTTCATAAGAAAGTATTCAAAATGAAAGGATACATTAGGAACATCGGGTATAAGGGCATGAGATTTAGGAGTCAGGTCAAGAGAGAATGTACAAAGGGAGTATTCTTGTTTAGACCAATGATAAAAATGTGCTCTACTCCTGTGTGTGTGTATACAATGGAATACTATGCATCTGCAAGGAATGATGAAAACATGTAATTTGCTGCATCATGGTTGAAACTAAAAGATATCATGTTGCATTAAATAAGCCAAAAAAAAGATGGGGCTGAGCGATAGCACAGTGGGTAGGGCATTTGCCTTGCACGCAGCCGACCCGGGTTTGATACCCAGCATACCATATGGTCCCCTGAGCACCGCCAGAAGTAACTCCTGAGTGCAGAGCCAGGAGTAACCCCTGTGCATTGCCGGGTGTGACCCAAAAAGCAAAACAAACAAACAAACAAAAAAAAAGAAAGACAAACATATGATGAACTCATTTATCTGTGAAATACAGACTACTGGATGAGGAACTGTATTGTAGTAAAAGGGGAATGCTTAGATTATCCTTGACCCCAGTGTTTAGAGAGGTGACAGAGTAGAAATGTAATCGGGGGGGGGGGGGAAGAAGAGAATAAGAAGTAATGGGTGAAAAGGTATCAGGGCTTCAATTATACCAGTGATATGAGTGAGGGATAGAGCCACATACCCAAAACACAGATTCAACAAAAC